CTCTTCCTAAACAACCAAATGTCATGTTGCCATATCATTTTTTGATTGGTCGACATGGTGCATTTTTCCACCAACACCAAAGGGCTGTTTTTGTTGTGGTTTTTTTGCTCATAAGCAGAGAGGTCTCGCTGCTGTCCTTAGACAGTAAACGTGAAGAAACTATTGAGGAAAAAATGCTGCGTATATCTTGTTTATCATGACTCTGGTTATACTGGCCTATCAGCACAATTTAAAAAACGGTATATATCACCTTGTTGCTTTGTCATCTTGAAGTGGTCATGTGATTGGCTTACCACGACTACTTTATTCCTCCTCAGTCAACCAGCAGCACTCATGCCATTGTTTTGCCCCTGTATTAATAAGTCTGTAATACGCTCTATCTTATTTTACAGCGCTGTTATTCAATCGGGGGAAGCGCTCCGTTGAGGATAAAAGCATGAATTTGTTTGTATACAGAGGTACCGAAAAAGTGCAGCAGGGCCTCGGGTCTTTCTGTCGGGTAGTTCAGTTTACTGAAGAACACCTCAGGCTGTCAGGTTAAAACGATCGTGTTTTCGTATTGTAAACGCTGGCCCTCCTCTCAGAGCCTATGCTCTATCTGCTATTCCTGAACAGAGATACGCAAGTTTCTCCGTGACTGCAGCTGTCAGTCAAAGCTATGATAGCGTTACACCCCAATTTAACATCACCGCGGTAGGAGTTAGAATCAAACTTATGGGAAAGGAGACCCCTTGGACATAAATCAGCGTGATGAGAACTATTGAAAACAAAAGACAGAATCTTTGGGAAAAAAATTATCTGAGGAGGCAGGATTTATGACCTATACTGCAGCCAGACACCAGGGGGCGATAGAGATGTTTACGTTTTTGGCTTCATTTTTTGGGAGCTGTCGCATCGTCCATGTTTTCTACAGTCATTGTGTCTGTCACTACCGGATCCATACCAGATACCCGATCCATACCATGCATGTGCGAACGGTGTCTACTTCCGGTTGAAGCATTTTACGATAGTTACAGGTCAGAGTATCTGTTAAGATGTTAAGGATAATACGTATATCTTAAAATGTTTGCAATAATGAAGAATATAATGTAGACAAAAACGAAAAATAAAAAGATAGTTACGGATCAGGACTCCCTGATCCGTACTGCGCATGTGCAGATGTTTTCTTCTTCTTCTGTTCGTTTAATGGCAGTTTACTCCCCAGTGTACGAGGATACCGCCACCTGCTGACCGAGCGAATGAACCGTATTGTAAACTGAATTAGCGTCATTACAACCGTGGCCTCAATCTGATTTAGCGATAGTCGAGTGTGTTTATGCTCGTCTGTGAGGAGAGGATTGTTGGAATAGTGATGATGATGTGCGCTATCACTGTCAATTGTCAGTAAACACTTAATCTGGCTGATGAATCTTCACGTGAGATATTACAAAGTCTGCATTATTAACTCTGTAATTAGGCGCCATTCTTCTTATTTTACGGTGCTGTTGTTCAGTCGGGGGACGCTCTCTGTTGAGGAGAAAAGCATGAATTTGTTTGTATACGGATTATCCACTGTTTAAATGTCCCGGGCAGTCGAAAAGGAGGCAGAGCTGTTGAGAAATGCTAGGAGCTAACTGGGCGCTAACCGTATCATTCAAATATATTGAATGTCGCAATGTTGGCAAATAGAGGAAGTGACGTAAGATTTGCGCATGCGGGGTACGGATCGTGTTTCCGGTACGGATCGGGTAGTGACAGTAGCTGTGTCCAAATTCATGGGCTGCTTCCTCCTGAGGCAGCATTTGTAGACCGATTACGTCACAGCGACGCACCGAAGGCTGTCCAAATTTGTAGACTCCTCCGAATGCGGCCGACAAATGCGTCCTCCTTTTCCCCGAATTTGAAGGATGGGTCGGGTGTGTCCTTCGTGGCCTACCATATCCCAGAATTCAAACCAGCCAAACTCAAGTTTCCGGCAATGGCGGCCGCTACTAAGTTTTAAAATTACTCTTACTAATCTTTCTGGGTCACAAAATAAACTTTTAACATATTTTTAAATGTGCGTGTGTAAACTTCAAATATCTGCTCAGTTTATCAAGATATCGCATATTTGCAAAAGTGCTTCGACGTTTTTGGAGACGTCTGTTACCCACCAGCTCGACAGCTAGCCGAGAGCTTGGGGTCACTGAAGCCGCCGAGAACGGCACAACTCCCGGCACATCATTTTCAGATCACCGCGGACTTTTGCTACTTGGGTTAAAAGTAATATATAAGTCACTTAGACAACCTAAAAATGCTATTGTTTGGCTTTTTCAGTGTTTTATTTGTTCGTGAGTAAATCGGTTTGGCTGAAATTAAAGTTATTAGATTAGATAAAATAAAACTTTATTAATCCCCCGGGTGGGTTCCTCCTTGGTTTTCACACAGCTGAATAAACGTTAAACAGAAAACTGATTAAACAGAAGTGTGAGACAGTCGAGAATTTACGCCAGTGTCCTGATATATTTTAGATAGCAAGGAGCAGACGGCCGAGTTTATTAAACTCCACCGAGACAGCGGCGACGCTACTCAGAAGGCTAGACCGTCCAATTCCACAGCCGTTTACTTCCAGCCTACCCGACCTTCTGAGGACCCGGCCCACGTAGACCGCGAAGGCCGGGTCCTCAGGAGGATGCAGCCCATGAATTTGGACGCAGCCAGTGTCATTCAAATACATTAACTGTCGCAATGTTGGCAAAGAGAGGACGTGATGTAAGATTTGAGCATGCGTGGTACCGATCAGGTTTCCAGTACAGATCGGGTAGTGACACCCACACATGGATCCTCCTTTTCCGCAGATTTGAAGGATGGGTCGGGTGTGTCCTTCGTGGTCCACTATATCCCAGAATATATAACATGTTTTCAGGCGAGAATCTGTGTAAACTTCAAAGATCTGCTGGGTTTATCAAGATATCGCATATTTGCAAAAGTGCTCTGATGTTTTCGGAGACGTCTGTTACCCACCCGCTCAATAGCTAGCAGGGAGCTCGAGGCTCACTAGAGCCGGCTGAAATTAGCTGACTCTGAATTAAATCTGACATTAAAAATATTTCAATTCAGGAGGAAACATTTTCACCGGGAACAAAAACAGCAGGTTAATACGTGGAGATCCTGAAGGCTCCAAAAGTGATCAGATTAGATTTTAAGTATTTGTTCAGTTCTCTTCCAAACCCAGCAGCTGTCAGTTGTAATTTTTAAATGTTTACTAAAATAAAAATAAAAGCGTTATAACATCTCACCTGTTATAATTTTTAATCAGGCATACATGTGTACTATTTTTATTAATAGAGAGATTAAGCTTGTGTATCGTTCATTTAGTGATTGTGCTTAACTGTATGAAGCTTATTAGGCATTATCAAACAGATGATATGTAAGCGACGTGTAGTGCATTTTACCAAAGTGCTTAAGATAATTTTTTAATTATCTTTTTTTCGTTAAAAAATCTACTACATCATGTATAATTTTTTTCATGTCATGTGTAATTTCCATTGCAGATATTAATCACAGTTAAATCAAACTCCAGAGCTGTGGTGTCATCAAGTACGCTGGTGTACAGAAATCGCGCCGTGTTGCCGACAACGCGAGTACGGACTCGAGTACTCGTGAATTGAGAAATGGCCTTAATGAAAATGTAACCAAACTGTTTATCAGGGGAAAGTATAGCCTGACATTAGTTGGTAAATTGTTAACTTTTAACCAGCTGTTATTGTTGTCAGCTGTCTGGAAACAGCGGGGTCACGTCCGATCTGCTGATAATAGTCACAATATCAGGAGTAAATGAGCACGTTTATGCACATTTCCACGTGTTAGAGACTTCAGCTTGAGGAGGAAGAGGGTGGGATTTGATTAAGGTGCCGGTGGCGTAGTCCCTTTCGTTCATATTCTGGTTTCTTTGGTGAAGGCTTCCCCTTCTCAGATGATCAAACAGGTATGATGCAGGTATGAATCTAGCTGTCCGTCCACAGTATGCAAACATCTACAGTTGCTCTTGTCCTCTGCCTTTGGCGTACTCCAGCCTAAAATGTGATAAGGCTGAGCGGCAGGGTGCAGTATCCAGATATCTTTGCCGCTGTGTTCAGCATGACAGCCTCCACAAACTGGTGCCCGTTTCTATTTTAAGAAGTTAACTCTAAACTTATCAGTTTGCTGGAAGATGAAATTACAGACTAACATGTAAGTTTCTGAGTACAACATTCTTTTTTTGATTAAATAACTTGAAAAATGACTGATTATATCTTTAATATATTAAAAACTAAAACCAAACCTGTAATATAATGACATAAAATAAAACAAACTTTCCAGTGCACTGTACACAGTTACCAAAGTGCAACTCTCTGTGTTAGAATGCATTTCGTTTTCCTTGAACACAGCACAGAAAATCATAAAATAAACGGTTCATTGATTTATTTATTTGGAAGATTTAACTCTCGTTTCCTGTGATCGATCACATGCTGCTGACGTCACCCTCGCGTGAACGCGCGGGGGAATCCCCGGTCGGTCGATACTCAGCCCCGTGTGAGCTGGTGTGAGGGCGAGTCCACACACGGGCGTTGCTGAGCTTCGACGTGCAGGGCCCGGGACCCTCAGGTGGGAGGGCAGCGTAACTCACCTGGCTGCACAGGTGAGGTGGGGCTGAGCTGATTCTGAGCTCTGCTGGTAAACACAGTCTGTCCCAGCGGCTGTGAGCGGTGATCAAACACCGTGTGGAGCAGTTGTTGGTGTTTTGTTATCGTTTGTCACGTACAGCTTTAAGAGGCGGAACCGGAAATCCCCCAAGACAGAAGCAGTCTGGGACGGAGACGTCCAGATTATCCAGGACGAGGAAGTGCGTCGGTGTGTGTTTCGATTCTTCAGCTCCAGCCAGCACGTTCAGACACCGGCCACAGACCGAGGAATGAGGCCGACACCATGCTGCTGATCCTGCTCTGCCTCCACGCCGTCTCCTGGGGTAAGGAGCCGCCGCCGCCGGACAATACCTGCCGAGCTACCGGCTAACAACGGCCTGTAGCCCCGCAGGCTAACCACGGATGAAGCAATATTCTGTGCGTGTGCGCGACAGACAGAGATTTTGTGTTTGAATCACGTTTTCGCTCCGGAGTCAGACTGAACTTTAAAATAACCGATGTTAAAATGTCATTTTCTAATGTCTTCAGTTATTAATGACTCATTCAAGCTGTTTTGTTGTAATCGACGTCAGGTGTTTCCAGCTGAACACGAAAGGCTGCTGTTACCTGCCAGCTGGGTTTCACCTGTGGATTTAGCGTGGCCGTCACATTCAGGTTCAAATGTCAGAGGTTATCTTAAAACTGATCATCCGGATAAAATACGGAACTCGTTGAGCTCAGACCAGGAAATGTTCGGTTCAGCGCGTCTAACATGAGAAAATGTCCTTTTTCTGTTTGCTGCGACTGTTTCAGGTTAAAAAGGTGAAACAGTCGCAGCTGCTGGAGGGTTAAAGGTTCCTGTGAAACATGGAAGTGGGCTATAAATGTCCAAAGCTCCTGACATGACAGGAAAGGATCTGTGAAGCTTTCAAAGAGTTTATTTCAGGTTATAATCATCACTTCTGTGTTTGTTTAAATCAGCCTGTAAACATGTTTAACCTTCATTATTACTGATGCAATAAACGTTCATTCATCTGTTCACTGTAAACACGTTTGACTCTGACACTCTCAGGCAATAAATAACTGATCTGTCCAATCAGAAAACAGACATGAAAGTGAATAAATGACGTCACCACAAACATCAGGTTCACATCTGTTCAGTTTTTAAAAACGTGCCGTGTGCAGCAGACAGATGTTATTCCTCGTTTTTGAATCTTTGTCCCTCTGAGCTCAGACGTCGTGGCGTCGATGGTTCCTGCTGTCTCTTTAATAAATCATCTGAGGCCGTGATCACATGAATAACAATAATCTGGATTATGCAGGGATTTCTCTGGTTTGCTTTCTTCACCTTTGCAGTCGCGTCTCAGGCGCCGCCGCCTCCACAGAACGTCCAGGTGGAGAAGGGTCAGCTGACGTGGACTCCAGGGGAGCCGGACGTTACCTACACTGTGAATTACCGCAGGTGAGCCCTCACAGCCAGGGAAGGTGCTCTGTTTTAAGGTGGAGCTTCCTTTTATATCGTCACGGCCGTTGGTGGCAAGAGGTCAGCTGATGACATTTTATTTACTCCATCGTTCTCACAGTTTCACATGAAAGCCGCCATCAGAGAGCAGCAGGCTGAGTGTAGTGTCACTGTCACAGATTCTAATCCACAGTGGGCTGGTAAAATGTTTAGGAATAGGTCAGAGGTCAGCAAAGCTCCTGCTTCAAAGCAACGAGTGATTGGGTTTCACAGCAGAGAGAACGCTGAGCAGAAGTTTTCTCTGACTCGTTTCTGTTCCTCATCCTCAGATTTAACTCTGATAAATGGGAAGCTCTTCCAGCCTGCATCCAGACGCCTTTCCATTCCTGCAACATATCAGCGATTGGGCCGCGCGACACTAACGACTCGCCCGAGAACAGCTGCGTGACGCTGCGTGTGCGGGCCGAGAGACGGGGGCTGAGATCTGAGGGTGTTAACGCCGGCAGCAGATACGGTGAGAAACCTCAGATATGTGTCAGCGCTGTCTGTGGGTGAAGCTGTGAGACTCGAGGTGTTAACCATCCTGACCACAGTGTGAACCACGAGCTGCTGCTGCGCTGACGCTCGCTCTGCTCTTCCAGGTGACGTCTGCACGCCTCCGTTAAGCATTTTGACCCGGCCTGGATCACTCACCGTATTCCTTAACGATGACCACGAGCTGGCGAAGGAACACGCCAACAATGCCAAGCACAGGATTTACTTTGGCAGAGAGGGAGAGAGTCCTCTGCAGGTGAGACCACAGAGTGATTCCTCCAGGTGTTTATGCTCACCTGATGTTGGGTGGTATCTGCTCCTTTGTGTAAAGAGGAGCAGGATGAGTCCTGCCAGAGCTACAAAATGACTTCTGGCAGCACATTAGTGTGAATGTGTTTGACCAAACAATCACAAACAGACTTCATTCTGGTTCCACAGAAGAGGGGCCTGAAAACTGAAGGCTCTGCCTCCCATTCTACTTTTAAATACTCGAGGAACAACAAGTAGGCCTGCAGAGCGAGAGCGACGTGCTCTAATAGGGTGATATGGTACTACAAGGTCATTAAGATAAGATGGGGCCTGATTATTTAAGACCTTGTATGTGAGGAGCAGGATTTTGAGTTCTGGATTTAACAGGAAGCCAAAACAGGAGAAATCTGCTCTCTTTCTAGTCCCTGTCAGGACTCTTGCTGCAGCATTTTGGATTAGCTGAAGGCTTTTCAGGGAGTTTTTAGGACTTCCTGATAATAATGAATTACAGTCGTCCAGCCTGGAAGTAATAAATGCATGAACTAGTTTTTCAGCGTCACTCTGAGACAGGATATTTCTAACTTTAGAGATGTTGCACAAATGGAAGAACGCAGTCTTACATATTTGTTTAATATGTGCGTTGAAGAATGTCCCTTGCTGGGCTCTGTAGTTTTTAGTGTTCTTTTAATTCCTTTGAGCAGTTTTTTTTTTTAAATTATTATTATTCATGCCAGTGTGCTTGCTGATACAGCCACATGTGTCTGTCAGTGGTCAGTGTGTGCAGGCAGGTCCAAGCATATTTGGACAGTTTGCCTCTGCACCAACAGACAGTCTGCACAAACTGTTTCAGAATTACAGCTATTTTTACACAGTTCCCATTTTCAGAGACTCAAAGTGACTGAGAAGCAGTTTCGTGTCCAGATGAATCCTGCGCCTTCATTTTTAGGACTAAACTCAATTCAATTTTCAATTCAATTTCAATTCAATTCAATTTTATTTATATAGCGCCAAATCACAACAAAAGTTGCCTCAAGGCACTTCACAGATACAGAGAAAAACCTAACAATCATATGACCCCCTATGAGCAGCACTTAGGCGACAGTGGGAAGGAAAAACTCCCTTTTAACAGGAAGAAACCTCCAGCAGAACCAGGCTCAGGGAAGCCAGAGAGCCACAAACGGGCAGCAGCTGCAGTGAAGCCCTGAAGCAGCATGTGGTCATGGGTCCATGGAGGGATAAACATCTGCTCTTATCAATGTTAAGCTGCACAGCTGGGTTACTTTCCGTGGAGCTCTGACAGTAAATAAAAAGACTGATAATTCAGCTGGGAAACACAATCTTATCTGAATACAGGACAAGACGAGCAGAAGCAAACACTTCAGTGTAATTCACTCACACTGTGTGTGTGTGTGTGTGTGTGTGTGTCATTGTCTTCATCAGAAGTATGAAGACACCATAGACTCCAGGACCATTGAAGACCTGGAGGAGGGGCAGCGGTACTGTGTTCAGGTGGCCTATACGGTCCACGGGGACCTCGTGGAACCACGCAGCTGCATCCAGTGTGAGGTCATCCCTGCATCAGGTAAGCTGCTCTTCTTGGTGTAACGTTCCTTTAACGCGCTCCGACTCCAACCAGAGACACAGATGTAAACGACTCCGCTGCTTTTGAATCAGCTGAAGGTTTTAAAGCTGCAGCAGTAAACTCACTGCGTCTGTTTTCTCAGAACACGTGAACAGGACGCCGATGATCGTGGGGCTGCTCGTCGGCATCGTGGTCCTCGCCATCATCATTCTTACATTGGGATACCTCGGGTTTTTCCAAACTGAGAAAATCAAACGCTGCCTGGAGCCACATAAATATGAAATCCCGCCGGTAAGACCAATACTGCTGCACACACTCACCACACAGACACTGGTGGGCGCTGTATCTACTCAGAGCGTGTCAGCGAGTAAAAGAGCTGATTTTGAAAGTGTTCGCTTCACGATCAGTGTGTAAGACCAACGTGGTTCTTCATGGTGACTGGTGAGTCGCTGAACTGTCCAATGGTGTTAACAGAGCTGTCAGTCCAGCAAAGTTAGAGCCAAAGTTAGATGGGTTTAATTTTGTACTTGTTTGGTCGAGTGTGTGAGACAGACACGGTTAGAGTGGGGAAAAAGCCGTCCTGTGTTTCCCACTATTGTGTTTTTTATTTGAATAATTTGTTTGTTTTTAAGCAGGCTGCTGCCGTTCTTTTGTTCTGTTATGTGTTTGAGTAAACGAATCGCTGCATTTGTTCGCAGCTGGAAGAGTTAAAACCGCTTCTCTGAGCTTCGACCAACATTATTAGCAGACGTACTCATGGGCAGATAAATGACTGTTGTAAAAACAATCGGTGAAAGGCTCAGCCAATCGCCCATCGTTAGTCTTCACTGCCTCTGAGGTTCCTGTGTCTTCTCCTCCTTCAGAATCTGTTTCGTGGGGAATTTGAAGTCCGACCATTTACTCCCATCGTAGAGCGCTATGACGACCTCCAGATCTCTCACGGTAACTACGAGCCCAGATCAGCACTCAGCCCTCCCGCCGCTGCTTCCTGAACTCTTGGAGAGGCTCCGCCCACTCACAGAGACTCCACTCAGTTTACCAGCAGAGGCGACTGAGTCGCTCACCTGCTCCAGGTGATCTAACCGTGCACCATCTGGATTATTTACCTGTGAGCACCTGATCTCAGAACATTTGTGAACTACTCCCATGAGGACAGTGGGTGGAGTAAAACCAGGATGGAGCGCAGCGAGCAGCTTCCTGACACTAATTTTAACCACTGCGCGCTAACAACCATCGCAGCAGAGAAGCGGGTCACTCTAGCATTAACCAAGTATCGTTTCTGAATGGCCACGCCTCCCTGAATGTTCTCCACGCTGCCGCTGCTTCAAACCTCCGATGACAGAAAATAGTAGAAAAACAGGAACTGCAAACACGTCTGCGTGCTCTTTCTCAAACTTCCTACAGTCCTGTTTAACTCTGAGAGTTAGTTTCTTTATTAATAACTGTCGGTGAGAGCGTTCCTGGGCAGGTGGGAATAACACGCTCACTGCTGGATCTGACTGGCTGCGGTAAGAGGACAGTTGTGGCCAACACTTCCTGTTTCAGTGAAATAGGAAGTGTCGCATGCGCCTGTAACATGAACACTGTTGGGTAAATGTTTGTCTACGGGAAATTTTCATGTAATTTTTTTTTGGGGGGAGACACAGGAAGCCCCTCCTCCCTGCAGAGGTCAACTCCCCGTCCTTCTGAATAAGCGGAGTTCACCTTAATAAAATGTCTGAGTCACTGGTGAGGCTGAGTCATTGCTTCCAGTAAACAGCAAGTTAAAGGTTACAGTAACAAACAAAGCAGCAGCTCACAGCCACGCCCACAACACTTTTTATTGTTTCAGGAACGACTGAAGCAGCCGAGATTTTAAACTTTAATACTGAAAAATCATCAACACACATTGTAGTCACAAACAGGAAGTTCAGGAACAAAAAACGTCCTTTTATAATCCAGTGTCAGACGGAGACGAGACAGCAAATGTGCTTTCAGCTATAAATTAGCCCCGCCCCCTTGAAGTGTCAGCCTGGAAGATTTTCATTAAAAATACATGTAACAATCACAGACTTTTAATTTGGAGGAGTCACAGGAAGTACAATCTGGAAACCAATCAGGTACAGTCTGAGGTAAAAAAAATTTTTTTTATCTAAAACGGTCCAGAGTGAGCGTGACCTGATGGACGAGGTGAAACGTGTGTGTGTCACCTGTGGCTAACAGGTTAGCATCCGTCCTGTGGCGGCTACACATCGCTCCGCTCGACTGTGCTACATCCAACCACAGCAGGACGGGGCCGGTTGCTCGGCTATTTGTTTACGGCTTCTCGTCAGAGCGAGAGGCGAGTCTCACATCCAGCTGTTTACGGCTAACATGTGACCTTTAGCATTTAATCAACAGGAAGTGAGGCTGAAATCTCCCAGAGTGACACTTTAACAGTAAGACCGGCGGTCCTGCCCGCCAGCAGGAATTCCCTCATTTTACAAAACACACTGAGACTGACACAGAGAAGTGAAACATAACAGAACTATATTTACACGTGTGTGTGTGTGTGTGTGCAGCAGCACTGATTGGTCTCCATTTAAAAAGCAACAATACTAAAACTGTTTTTACAGCTTCGATTAAAACAGCAGAATACAAAACATCTGAAGGCCGTGTGTGTGTGTGTGTGTGTGTGTGTGTGTGTGTGCGCGCACGGGTATTAACATCTTAATGGGGACCAACATTTGGTAGTATACTATATTTGTGGGGACAAACAGCCCTCATGGGGACCAAAATACCGGGCCCCAGTTTGAGGGCATTTTTTAGACTCAACTAGGTTATGATTTGGTTTAGGGTCAGGCGTTCATTTTTGATGGTTAGGGTAAACGGCTAGGGAAAGCATTATGTCAATGAGATGTCCCCACAAGGATATAAATACACGTGTGTGTGTGTGTGTGTGTGTGTGTGTGTGTGTGTGTGTCTGTCTGTAGAGACGTCTTAACCCCATAAATCTTCAGTGCGGCCAAACTTGTAGATCAGAGTGCTGCAGAGAGAGGAGACAGTGATGTCACAGTGATGTCACACACTGAGCAGACAGATCCAAACTCACAGCTCAGCTCCACAGTGCTGTGATGTTTGGAGGCTAATGAAGCTCTCTGTCATGTAATAGCTGTGTCACTACCGGAAACCCGATCGGTACCCCGCATGCGCCAAAGGTGTCTACTTCCAGTCGAAGCGTTTTACGATAGTTACAGGTCAGAGTATCTGTTAAGATGTTAAGAATAACAAGCATCTCTTAAAATGTTTCCAATAATGAAACATGTCAATATAATGTAGACAAAAATAAAGATAGTTACGGATCAGGGCTCCCCGATCCGTACTGCGCATGTGCAGATGTTTTCTTCTTCTTCTGTTCGTTTAATGGCAGTTTACTCCCCAGTGTACGAGGATACCGCCACCTGCTGACCGAGCGAATGAACCGTATTGTAAACTGAATTAGCGTCATTACAACCGTGGCCTCAATCTGATGTAGTGATAGTCGAGTGTGTTTATGCTCGTCTGTGAAGAGGATTGATTGGAATAGTGATGATGATGTGCGCTATCACTGTCAGTTGTCAGTAAACACTTCATGTGGCTGATGAATCTTCGCCTGACACATTATAAAGTCTGTATTATTAACTCTGTAATTAAGATAAGATAAGATGACCTTTATTAGTCCCACAGGTGGGAAATTTGTTTTGTTACAGCAAAAGTAATACAAGTAGCAAAATTAGGCGCCATTCTTCTTATTTTACGGCGCTGTTGCTCAATCGGGGGACGCTCTCTGTTGAGGAGAAAAGCATGAATTTGTTTGTATACGGATTATCCATTGTTTAAATGTCCCGGTAGTCGAAAAGGAGGAAGAGCTGTTGAGAAATGCTAGGAGCTAACTGGGCGCTAACCGTATCATTCAAATATATTGACTGTCGCAATGTTGGCAAAGAGAGGAAGTGACGTAAGATTTGCGCATGCGGGGTACCGATCGGGTTTCCGGTACGGATCGGGTAGCGACAAGCTACACAGCTGTGGTTAAACTAACATGAGCACAAGGCAGGTGGAGGTGAAACATGATGGTCCTGATGGACTGAGACAAACTCCAACCACGACAGGGTGTGAATCAATCATTAATCTGGAGCCGGTTAGAAAACAAACACTCATTTAGAGCTGGAAACCCCCTCCCTGAGAAATCTGGTATTTACAGTCTGTGTGGATGTTAAAGCTTCTTTTCACGCTCGTATCCATCCACCCGCCTTTAGTTCTTCTTTCTGCATCAGTTAGTGGAACAGAAACGGGCCTGAATGGGTTAAACTGAGCCAGGCTTTCCCGGCAGGAGTTCCCGCCCATTACAGGAAATAAGATGCAACAGGTTTCATGTAATGTGTCGCAGCGCTGCAGGAAGCACATATTTGGCACCAAGCTGGTTAATTACAACAGGCCTGTGCGCCGTTTCAGCTGCTTCAGTGTCAGCGCTGCTGCTTTTCACTCACCTAAAAAAGATGAAGGCGTTCTGAAAGAACACAGCCATCCCCGGAGCCACTTCTTTCTCTGAGGGAACACAGCGACATGTTATCAGTCACATCAGGTTTCACTGTGACTGAGCATGTTCAGAGAGAGCAGACTCCCTGCGCAGGTCTAAGGAAGTCAGATTAAAATCATTTGTTGTATTTTTAGACTCCACAGTGTAATAACCACAAGGCTTTTCTTCTGCTGCTCACACAGCAAGCGCAGCAGGGTGAAGACTGCAGCGCATGGACCTGCTGCAGGAGCAAAGCTGAATTTAAAATAAGACTCCCTGATCCATCGTTTCAGGATCAAATCCGACCAACTACCAGGTCTACGCTGCAACCTCAAACACCCTGCTGTGGTCACGTGTGAGAGGCCACAAACTGCACCCGCTGGAGGTGAAATGAACCGAGGGCTGTCCCTGAGTGCTACCTGCGCCTCAGTCACGAGAACAATGAGCAGTTTTAACCTTGTGTGGTTTGTAGTGATTCACTGAGGTTTGCTTTCGGTTCGTGTGGATTTTTTCTGTGTGAAACGAGACCAAACCACAGGAAAAAGCTCCAAGTTTCCAAAACGGTCATGTGATTCAGAGCAGAAGAATACACCATGAAGCAGCTGATAAAGGCCAGCAGTGACTTCGCGCTCCAAACCATAACATACTCTCTGACTTTGTCCAGGCTGAGCTGTTACTAACTTAAAGGTATAACTTCTGGTTTTCCCTCCAGCCTTCTGATCATTTCCAGGTTTGCATGTTTGACCAGCAAGGACAGACTGAGGGGAGAAACTCACTCGGCACTACGTAGCCTCCAAACAGGATCCAGATGGAGCCGATGAGCGAGCCGAACATCATCATGAAGCCGATGAAGAGCCAGAGACGAGCTCCTGCAATCGCAGACACATGCAGTACAATTACATATGAGCAGTGCTGTGTCTGCTGTGTTTGTCCATCCTGACGGCTGTGCAAAGGGCAGGATTCACACCGCCGTCAGATATACGTTTTTTTAAAATATCATTTTAGCTTTTATTGGCTAGATACAGCGAAGAGAGACAGGGTTAGGGTAACCCTAACCCACGCCGGCATGTGGTCTGTGCACCCACTGAGCTACACCACATATTAGTCTCTTTACAGACAGCTGAGGCTCTGCACTTTACTCTTAACATCTGCGTCACGTGTGTGTTTCTCACACCTCTGAGCGCCACAGCAGATCCCTGACAGGTGACAAACACTCACCTGTCCGGCCCATACAGCCTTCTCCGTACGTGTCCCCCCTCACCTGGCCGTTGGAAACTGCATTAATCCTGAGAATGAACACAGAGTCACATAGAGGAGTCTGAGCGCTTCATGCTGCTCACACTGCAGATATAAACAGGAAGTGATCACATGATGTTTCAGAGTCTCTGCTTTGTTTTTGACCTTTGTTGATTCACATTTGACTGCAGCACCAGTTTCCAAGCACACCGTGAAATCTGGCAGGTCTGTAACTTCCTCGGAGTCTGAGGTCAAACCTGTCTGACACCAGCTCAGCTCATTAACAGCATCGAGGTCAGAATAACAACAGACTGAATGATTCTGCAGTTTGGCTGCTCTCCTGTCACATCGTGAAAGGTTTTGGTTCCTCTTTGGTGAAAGAAGAGTTCTAAGTAATGAGGCATCATCAGAGGTCACAATTTGTCCTTTCAAAGCCTCGCTGAGATGTTTAAGCTGAAATTACATTTCACTGCAGGAGGAAACCATATAAAGCAGCTGCTTGTAAAGAGGCTGTGAGGCACATGAACAAACCCAAGCAAATCTTACATGTGTTTTCATGTGGATAACTCTGCCCCACCCGCCCGCGCCTCAATGGTCTAACAACTCTGAAAGCATGTACGGTATGAAAGCAACGTTTCACACTTACATGAAGAAAGCGATGGTGGAAAAGACGCCACAGGTGTGGAAGGCGTGGTTCATCTGCTCCTGGGTTGGATACGCCACAGCGGCGTCGATCATGATCCACCAGCCGGTGAAGAACTAAAAGAAGAGAACGTGCACAGCGAGACATGACGTTTCTAAAGGTTTTACTTCCTGTCCATCCTTAGCAGACATCCGTTCTGTCACTAATGTCTGAGTGTTTACAGATCATGGGGTGGCTGCAGCTCAGCTCATCTGGCTGCTCCAGTCTGCATACCAAATATCCTTGTAAAGATACTAAACCTCACTGCTCTCCGATGGATGAATGTGTGTGAATGTTGGATAGAAAGCAAAGCAAAATGTGTTTGTGTGAATGAGGCTTTGATTGATCAGATGTGTCTTAGCTGGACTGGTTTTTACATCAGACTATCACAGCAAACTTCTGGATTATTAACAGTCATGTTTGAGGTAAACACAGATTATGGCATTGTTCTGGGACAAACGGGAAACAGATCGCGTGAAGCGGAATATTTACAGCTCCAATAAGACCTTCACCATTCACCAACCTCCCAGCGGCGAACATTTATCTTATCTGAGATTTCGAACAGACTCCGCCCCTCTCTGCCTCACACTAACCAGAACTCCGGCCACGATGGAGGCCACGGCATTCCTCCTCTCGCCCCAGTCGATGCATTCACACTCAGGCCAGCGGAAGTTATCCAAAAAGCCGGCCATCCTCCTCCTCCGCCTTCTTCTTCTTCAGTTGTCCTGACAGGCGAGTCTGCCCCCCCCTCAGCAGCTGCTCACACTCTGTGAAAGACGCCTTTAAAACAAACACAGGCCGTTAACAGCGTCCTGCAGTGGGTGAAGGACGTCTGGACCTGAAGATTCAACCAGAACCAACGGACATTGATTTTCACCACATCTGCTACAAACTGTCAGAAATATGAGGACACGTCGTCATTCAGAAAGTTTTTTTTTTTCCATTTTAATCGCAGAAGAACGTTTTGAAAAATAAACAGACGGGAGAAACAGATCCATGTTTCTACCTGGGTTTAGCTCACTGTCACGCATCAGCTTACAGACTCAGCAGTAGGGCTGCACGATTAATCGTTAGAAAATCGCGATCTCGATTCATACTTATGTGCGATCTCATTTCCAAATGACAACGATTTAAAGACGATTGTACCGCATTTTGATCCGGGACGTAATCTGCATGAAAACAAGCGCTCACTCTTCCTGCTCAACAAATGACAAGGGCGGAGCCTTATACCACGTGATACAGAAGGTGTGATGCTAAAATTAGCAGGAAAAAACAACGGAGAGCACGTCAGGGATGACGAGAAAGTGACAGGAGAAAATCCGTCCCGGTCAACCACCCAAACACCAATAACGGGAACCTCATACAGCGCTTCCCTATACCTGTCGAACTCAAAGAAATTACGGAGGCTATCACTTATCACCTGACCAAAGATATGGCTCCCATCAACACTGTTCAAAACGAGGGATTTAGGAAAATGATCAACACCCTAGACAAACGCTACACAGTGCCGTCCCGCAACTATTTTTCTATTGTTGCACTACCTGCTCTGTACACGCAGCGTCGAGCGACGGTGGAGACGCAACAACAAAATGTGAGACATTTGTTGTTTTTATGTTTATTTATTGTTTTTATGTTTATTTATTGTTTTTATGTTCAGTCTCAACTGTTACGAAGTTGATGTGCAGTTAATAAGTGCAATAAATATTTATACTGGAAAAGAGAATCGTGAGAGAATCGTGATCTCAATTCTAAGCCAAAAAATCGTGATTCTCATTTTATGCAAAATCGTGCAGCCCTACTCAGCAGCAGGTCAGAATCACACAGAACAACATTTAGACATTTCCTCCAACAGCACGTGATCAGATGATCACAAGTTCAGTCTGAGATTCACAGCCGGGGTTCTTTCACTGCTCTCAGGAAAAAGCTTCACGAATCGGAGGAAACTCTGAACATTACCTCCTCCTGACCAGGTGCAGGTTATGACCAGGTAAGGTGTTGAGCATCCGTTACCATGGTGACTTAGTGGGTAAAAAGAGAGGCCCAATTTTAGGAGTGTCACCTGTCCCGGCTCCAACACTGAGATGCTTCAGTGATGGACTGAAGCTGCAGATGCTGACCTGCTAACACCTGCTCACCAGTTTCCTGCAGGAACCTGATTATTTTACTGTTTCTTTATTTTTATTTATTTTTTAACAAGCCATTTCGTGATATAATTACTTTATTTTGACTTATTATTCTTTTTCAGTCTCAGATCTTTTAGATTTAAAGGAGCTTCTTTTGTGGTCTTTTAGAATTTAATTGGTATTTTATAACTTTACACTGTAGTTCAGCTTTTTATTTCTTTCACAGTTATTGAGGTCTGTTTTGTTCCGGCTGGTTCACTTGTTCTCATGTACATATTTAAAGCGCAGGTGTATCCGCAGGGCAAAGTGTTTGCTAGCTGGTCGGGGGCTAACTGTTTGCTCCACCGCAGCACAGGCGTAGCTGCTCCGTCAGCCTCCTGCAGGTGTGCGGATTCCCACACCGACAGGGTTGTCAACACCTGTCTGTTCTTCGCTCCCTGCTGGATTAATAACCGTACACCTGTCCTGTGACGGTCACAGCTCACCGAGCATTTGTTCCACCGAGCAAACGGGAGCTAACGGAGGCTAACGCTAACTGCTCGTAACCCGTCTCGTTTCCCGCTTTATTCCTTCAAGTAACATCTGAAGCAGCGCGTTAGTCGCACCTGCCTGCGAGCCTCCCAGCTGTCTGAAAACTCACCTGATATCAGTCACCCCCATGAAACAGAGCCGCGCAACAACGTTTTTCACTTTCCATTTACGGCACAGCCCCTCGTCTGCGGCTTCATTTCCGGGAGCCTCACGGGCTCTGCGGCACACTGCTGCCTCCTGCGGTCAGGACCAGGCTCTGCATCCTATAAAGTCACTAACTTTAGCAGTAGTGAAGCGCTGTATGCTGGCAAACAAATACCACGTATACACACATGTGATGAACGATTCCCCAAGGCTGGGGAGGCCGTTTATAAAGAATAATTATATAACCATATAAAAATATATTTTTACATAAAATGTTTTAAATTAAAAATCTTTACACATAGGGAGGTTTTTGCATTTCATTCATTCATCTTTATTTCCCATCAGCATATCGATCTGCATTCACTCACACTTCAGTCCAGCACAGATGAAAGATGTCTCAGGTCTTATCTGTGAGACCCGTGTGGTAAGCACCATAAACACAGCAGCCTTCTTAATATGTTTTGTTCTATAAGCTGGTTTGTTGTCCATGAACTAAAAATGAGAGAGAAGAGTAGAACAGCAACGGCATTATCACATGTGTCCACAGTAAGTGTCCAGTAGGTGTCGCTGTTTTCACTGAGTCTTCTCTGAGCTGGACTCATGTTGCTGCCTTGCTTTGATGTTTGAATCCACAAACCAGCAGAGACTGATTCATGAGAAAACCTCAGAAATCTCCTGCTTGTTCGAGCCGAACCTCAGCATGAAAGTCTGAAACGGCTCCAGACTTCAGACACAGACAGACGGCATCTTTACTCACTGAGAGAAAAAGGCTGCGAGGTTGACCTGAGAGCTGCTGCTCTGAACGAGCTTCAGTCAGATGTGAACATGAAGCAGAGCGGTGCTCTTCATCATCAGAGAGCCTCAGACTGAAGCGTTCCTGTCATGGACAGACCTCTGGGCTTCGTTCAGAAACACAGGCCACAGCTTTTCTCTTCCACCAAAGGACAATCGGCCGCTCTCTCACTTCATTTTATTGAATCGTCAGCTTTCATTTACTAAAAATATATTTTTCTTCTAATGACCAGAACAGCATGTGGAAGGTCAGATTTCTGTTCAGTGAGGCGATGCAGACTCACAGCACCGTCACCTCCACCCACTCCAGAGAAAGCCTGATTACTTGCCCTAACCCTTTCAGCCCTGATACTGATACATGTACAAATACTGATGCTGATAAAGGTACAGGCACATATACAGATACGGATAAAGGTCCTGATACAGATTAAATACAGTCAGGTCCATAAATATTTGGACACAGACAACTGTTTTTGGTTCTGTGCATCAACACAATACATTTTAAACGAAACAGCTCAGATGCAGAGCTTCAGCTTTAACTCAGTGGGTTGGACAAAAAGATTGGATTAAAATGTGAGGAACTAAAGTATGTTTAACACAATCCCTTCATTCCCACACAGATTCAATAAGTGATAATGAAGTGTTCATTTCTAATACGCTGTTGAAAACCCTCTGCTGGGTTTGCTGACGGTCTTAAACTCACAGACATCACCAGATGCTGGTTTCCTTCTCTCTCTCAGGCCTTTACTGCAGCAGCTTTCAGCTCCTGTGTGTTTGTGGGTCTTTTTGACCAAAGTTTAGTCTCGAACAACTGAAATGCTCAGTTGGGTGAAGGTCAGGTGACTGACTTGGCCACAGATAAGGATGTAATGAAGAAATTCCCCACACCTGTCCATGAAATAGCCTTTGAGTCAACTGTCCAATTACTTTTGGCCCACTTAAGAAGAGGGTTGCACACGTTAAGGAGCTGAAACTCCTAAACCCTTCACCCAGTCTGAACGTGGTTACCCTCGATCGAAAGCTGAGAGTCTAACCATCATATCCACGTCTATTATATAACTATAACTGGAATATGACTCAGTAAACAGGTCACAACACAAAACTTGTCAGTGTCCATATATATATGGACCTAACTGAACAGATACTGATGCAGGACGACTCCTTCACTCTCCTCCTGAGGAGGTTCATCCGTGAACATTCAACACTGAACAGCTACACACAGAGCAGTAAACTCACCCCGATCACTTTCCAGCTCCTAATCTTTGTGTGGATGGTTTTCTTCTTTTTAGGCAGCCAGATGTTCAGAGTCCAGCTGTGGGTGTCGGTGAAGGTTCAGACGTGTCAGCAGGTGAGATAGCAGATGGAAACGTCATTAAAGCGATGATAAGAGGCGATATGGTAGGCTCCGAGTCTGCTTTTGTTCATATCTGCAGACTCACTGATAGATCACTCTGAGGTGTTAGAGTCTACGGAGAGAGATTCAGTTTTCCTTCAACATAACACAAGATGTGTTAACACACAGGTAACGTGTCAGGATTGGGGAGGTCATTCCGGTAAACATCTGCGTAGTTTTCCTCAGTGGTGTTGAACTTCAAGCACTCAAGAATAATAACCGTGAAATCATTTTATCTAAAAGGTTGGAAGAAGATGGTGTTATGAATGATTAAAATTATTTTGTAGCTAAGATTCTTTTTCAGCAGCTGAAACTAAAACACAACCTAAAGCTGTATAAAGTTCAAATGTCTGACTCAGGCACATGAAATAAAGCACAGTCAGTAAAAATGTTAATCAAGCTTTTATATCCACTTATTAAATAATTACAGAGAGCTCTGTGATGGATCGAAACCTGTACAGGTGTACCCATCTCTCACCCTATGAGACCTGTGATAGGCTCCGCCCACACCATGACCCTGGACTGTAATGAAAATGAACAGACTCTGCTCACCCAGCAGGACAGGATGCCATCCCATAATAACCACCAGCCTGCTGACATGCTTGAAGCTTCAGCGTCTGTGAAGCCAAAATAAATCCCTCTGTATGAAAATGTGATCCTTAAACAAACTGATCAGAGATCACAGATTTATTCACGTCACTTTTATTTACATCACAACCACAGGCTGAATCGTATCCATCCACTGGATCCTGATCACTGATTCATTGATCTCATTCAATGATTTTAATGACAGCTTCACCTGTAAACGATGAATCAAATCTACAGTATGACAGAGTGGAGTACGCAGGAAGCAACAGAACACAGAAACAGCAGCGGTTTTAGATACGGCGACACGGGCGGTTTGCCCGGGGCGGCATCACGGGCATCGGCAAAAAAAGAAAAAATGCTCCGATAGAAAAAAGCTATGATACCGGACACAGCTACTTCTTCTTCTTCGGGGTTTAACGGCAGCTGGCATCCTTGTACATGCAGTGCTGCCATCTTCTGTTTCAGTCCGTTATTACACTCTTAAATCCTGCTACTTATTCCTTTATCCTACTACTAGCTCCCAAAAGATTAGATCTTTTGTGATCTTACAAAGCTTCAAACGACGCGTCGACTATTAAATCAGTCGTCGACGATTTTGATAGTCGACTAATCGTGACTAGTCGTGGCAGCCCTAGTATGCACGCTGTCCTCAACAGCCATACTGAAACTGTCACAGTTCCAACGTCAGTAGGAAACACAGCCAGATAAACTTTTCAGGACAAACGAGACACAAAAGGAATTTTACTGGAAAGCAAAGATTGTTTCAGGACCTACAAGTTTAAAAGATTAAACCAGCAGCTCCAGGGAAGGTGACACAGATGCCTGTGAGAAGAACACCACTAAACCACTTCATACTGGG